GTCAAAACGCTTGAAGCTTTCGGCTGGGCACTTTTAGAAGCGATTTACTCAGTTGGAAGTATTAAGCTCATTGACGGCTAGTAATCGCCCTCGCTCAGAAGTCGAACGTGAGATCAGACTGCTGCCACGAGTAGATAGACTTCCCCCAGCCCTCTACAAATTTGCGAGATTAGCTCTTGTGGACGATTTGCGCTATTACTGAAGCTGGGACAGGAATGTCCTAACCGACTGGAGCTAGTCCGTTATAGTTCTCCTCATTTTCAAGCGCTGTTCAAGTTCGGAATGCAGCAATGATAGAAGGATCAGTCTGATCTCTGTCTCCTCCAAGTTACTTGCTTCTATCGCCCTTCGTAGACTGGCACTCGTGAGTCAGGCTCAGGAAGAACAAGTCGGGTTTTGTCGAAACCGAGGCTGCATTGCTCACCGCCACTTATGTTGACGACCCACAGCAGCGCCTTTGATTCGGGGGATCGTTGTGCCCTCTGGAATTGTTTGATTAAGGAACGTGTGCTCGAGAAGTACGTAAGCATTATCAGAATGCTTTACCCGCGTAAATCGAGCAGATTGAGGACGTATGGTATCTGTCACCGCCTTCCAGTATCTAGCGGTGTGACAAAATGCCAGTTGTCACTTTTCCTTTTTAACTGCTATTGACGAAGTATAAGAAACTGCATTTACTGAACACAATTCGGATGGTGTGGAGATAGATGTGGGATGTGGGGATGGTGTGGGAAGCAACTCCACACCATCCAAGTCGTGTTCAGTAAACGCAGTTTCCTTTACTTCGTCAACAGCAGTTAAAAAGGAAAAGCGACAACTTGCATTCTCGTCACATACCGCTAAACATACTTGGAGGTGGTGACATACCATACGTCCTCACTCTGCTCGATTTACACGCGTAAAGCTGTTTGGAGTTGGATTGGATTATATGACGGCTCATAAACTTGCCAAACAGCACTGCACGGATTAGCACTGGCCGTCAGCCATTTCGGTCTTTGCTTTACACTCGAAGCGCAAGGCTTCACTCCTAAATCGGCATGGACCACCCCCTGCACTGACCCCCGGAGGGAATTAAATAGACGTCCTTCAGAAATCCAACTACATAAGCAGCTGTATCAGCACCTGTGATGTATAAGGTGATGTCACGGCTCCTATAACGATAGCTAAAGACGCTTTTGCGTTACCTCACTACTTATGGCACAAGTGCGACATCACTCTCACCCTGAAGGACAGAGGCTATAATGCAGCCGTTCGTTCAAACCTACTGTATGGTTGTAAAAACATCGCTTATCAGAGCGTCAGACTACTAGAGCCTTGTCCAGTTCGACCACCGGCGCCTTCGTAATTTGGTTCACACCTGGTGGGAACACTGCATGAGCAATGCACGTGTTGAGTACTTTGTATTTGGTGCAGGAAGAGCGAGTGAATCGCTCAGTAACATTATATCACGTCCCAAGCTCTGACGACTTGGTCATGTGTTACGCATGCTAGCACACCGACCTCGGCGACGTGCGTCGTTTGCGCTACCGGGAACTTCATGGAAGAATGAGGCCTAATAGATGACTTGGTCAAGAGGAATAAAATCCCTCACCTCTCCTCGGTTGGCGTATGTCGACCTCCGGGTTGGGGTCCGGGAAGGGATGAACACGTTTGTTTGGAGGCACTTGTTGACATGGCGAATAGCTGGCCTCACAGGTGTCTGTCTCGTGAGTTTCTTCGTCTCATTGCTTAGCCTCCTCTCTTTCTGTTTTGTACTTTTTACCATTTGTTTCTATTTTCAGCTAATATATCACTGCATTGTATTGCTGCATAATAGCTGAGGTAGATCTTACTTTCAGCTATCACGTAGAATAGTGACGAAGTCATGTTGGTCAGTGTGCGATTCAGTTAGAGATTGCTAAGGTGGCACCAATGGGGCGTCGACGTCAAATGTTATATTAAACACTAATGAGAGTGAGTGACGCAGACAAATTGACCGGAAACCAATAATAGTAGCATGAGTTTCAGGTGAGTCATTTTACACATTAACTATGAGTGAGGAACACCCAGCTATTGTGTCGCAGTACATTTAGTTTAGGTAACACTAAAACAAAGACAAGGGATACAAAACTATTGTTATGCTTTGTTCTGTGCTAAATTGCAGGAAGACCGCTCCGTCTGTGTGCCCACCACTAGCTTTCTCCATCACCCTAGGCGCCACGACATTACTTAGCGTTCTCCACAATCCTACCAAGTTGCTCACTGATATCCCACCACGCCATAGGTCACCGTTGGCGTGGCAACATTCGGGACTGCGAATCCTATAGGTTGAATTGCGTCGAGTATTACGATTTATTGGAACGTTCGAAGGTTTGTGTGTGTTTCGATGGCCTGTCTAACTTTCAGCGAACTCGACTGAGCACTGATAACTTAGAGGACTTCACCATACAGGCAGACCATAAACAAAGGCTTCGTGAAATTCTCACTTTCCTCTCTCATTGGAACGTTGACTGGTATTGGTTACGTTTGCTGCGAGTCTATGCAGCTGCCATCTTAACGCGGTAACCTCGTAACTGCTTGACCTTCAACGAACCGTACGCTCTGCTTTGGAGTGCTTTGAACTCTACCAGTCCATATTTCAACAATTGAATGTCGGCCGGTGGCCGAAAGAATTGCACGCTTGGCTTGTAATCCTTAGGTCGCCGGTTCGAATTCGCGTAGGGCGGGCGTCCTCGCGGTATACTCAGTTCACGCGCGACCGGTGGTAGTCGCGTAGCAGCGAGGCGTCAGTACAGTGTGCCGACGTACTGCTGATGACTTTGACTACTTTCCAACAATTGTATGTAGGTCTTCGTCTTGACCAGGAATCCTGGTATTCCAACTGGACTATGAAAGCTGATTCCTCTATTGGGAACACCCACATATTGTTTATCCCACCGCACGCCATCAGTTGGGTGATATACGAGTTAAACCGCGCAAGTATCAACAAACGATATGAGCATCTGCATCACTGTGGGAATCACTTTCATCTTCAGTCTATTTACCCAGTGCGACACGGTACCATATCTATTTCCATCATATAACCGGACCTGTATGCACGCATCCTCCCACTTAAACGGACTCAGAGACCTATCTGGAATTCTAAGCGCTTCGAGCTCCTGGTCCTGATAGTCTTCCTCCAGTCTTATTTAAAGGGGGTGGGAATGTAGTCCTCAACTACATCTCACTGTGTTTAGTGTGCGTATGACTCATTCCGATTTACGAGAAACTCTCCAAACGATTACGTCAATTATTGAGGGACCTCCGTAATCTCGATCGCGTCCAATGATTTTGTGTCCATCCTGTTTCATGGGCTTTCGGTTGCTCGGGAAACTGTCTCGTTAGAAACAGGCTTATTTTCATGCGGTCTGAAGTTGCACCGACCAATTTCTCAGGTCCAGTCAACTTCTCGAGCGCATTTACATCCACCTAAGGCCATTGAATTGTTACAAAACACCGTCTGCGTTGGCTCAGCTACGTACTGCTTATGCCACTTCATCGCCCCTTTTGTCGCGAATTATTCGCACTTTCTGGATGCGATTGGAAGCGTTGCAGCAAACAGCCGATGACTTGGAAATGGCACGTGCCTATGTAAAATCGTGTCTAACTTCATTTAGAAATGTCTGTTTCACAGGCTGTAGCTCGTGTAACGCGGGCTCCCAGTAATGGGTTTTGGATGTGCTTGGCTCAAAATGAAAGTCAATAGCATCCTTGGTATTCTATTGCCATTTTATCCGGTATTGCTTCAAATGAAAATGCCCCATATGAAAGGCATAAATGAAACATCCAAAAGAGAACCATTGTATTCTAGTCTAATGGAGTTTTCCCCTTCATTTCTACCATGCTTCTGATATTGCATTTATCTGAATTCAGGCTGGTGAATCTATTGTACTAGGTTCTTTTCTCTTTACTATTTCCTATTATTATTCCCATCCTGGCTGTAGTACGGCGGCGCATGAATTCAAATTAGTGAAATGCTGCTGCTGTTGCAAATGAGCCATATCGTCCTATGCTTTTGTATCCTTCCAATTGGATGTGGGCACATACTTTTAAAGGATACCTTCTAGTAGAGGCCGTTCAGACCGATAGCCTCAGTGGAAGTTCGGACCAACGCAATTGGAAACTCAGTGACCTAAAACAACCCAGTATGAGCTTTTTTCTGTTGAGATTAGCCAATGACAAAACTTTTACCTTAGAATCAGCCAAGGGGATCTTTAACTGCTCTCTGGTAGTTTATGGCAATATGGAATCTTCATCTTGGTCATAACTTTTGAACTACATTATTAGACTCCATTTTCTTGTGAACAACGCCATGGTTCTCGGGACTCATTTGGAGGTTCCGACGAGGACTCTTTTTCCTACCTTTGTAATTGGCTGAAATTTGGTTCGAATAGCTTTCCGGTTGTCCGTGCTGTTTAGTGGAGATAACGGTAGTGTAATATTTCATGTCAGAGTTGGGACTTCTAATTCCGAGTTCGGGTCACACCCCACCTGTGTTTGGTTATCATGACACTATGCTAGCCCATATACAGCCGCTTGTGGTTGCATGATAATGGACCACAAGCAATTATTTCCAGTGTGCTTTTAGTAATGTTCAACCTCAGCGTCACTCATGAACTGCACATCGTTCCATCACTCCTGCTTTCCACTTCATCACATTGCATTCTAGTTAGTTATTTCTGGCTGTTGCATTCAGTTGCATTGGCTTTTTCTTATAGTATAACATTGCACTGGCTGTACTTATGGTCGAACTTGAAACTCAATGATCGCCAGTTCGAATATGGGCAGGTGTGGGAGACCTCTCGGTATTCGTAGCCCGAGCACGACTAATGGTCGCTGCGCATCAGTGGAGCATTGGTATAGCACACCAGCGTACTGCTGATACCTTTCTCTTCTGTATGCAACATGTAAAAGGTTTACTGTCGTCTTCGTCTGTAGCCGTATTTGATTTGTCTTATCCTTTTCTTGCTTTGGTACACTAGCGACGCTGTCGTGGCCGTAAACAACGATAACTTGGATAGGCGTAAGAAACATCACAAACATCACCACAGTGATAAAACTCGTCACGCGGTCGGCTACAGCACCCACTCTCATCCATACCCCGTTCACGAAGACCGTCACATCCATGGTTCAAAACACAGATCTCACAGGTCCAGAGACTACACAGAGTACTACCATGATCGCCATGAGCGGCACCGCCACACCGAACATAAAAAACGAACATCTGAGCATTTAGATGAACGATCGCATCACGACAAGCGACCGTCATCAGAAAAGAAAAAGTCCCACAAACCACTCGAGCACTCACTGTCACACGGGTCGGATATAGAGTATGTTCAACTTCTCCACCTTACTCTTCTAGTGAGGGTGCACTGAAGCTAGAAGAAAATGAAGAAGACGAAGAGAGTATCATCCGACAGCGCCGTCTGGAACGCCAGCGTCTACTGGAGGTATACTGCTCAATAAAAATTTACCTGCCATTTTAGAAACTCGCAAAGGCTGTACCAAATCAAGTAGCGTGTTTCGAAACATCTAAATCCCAATCTACGCTATCCCATACTGACGGTCTTGCCGATTTTGTTTCCGAAATAGATACGGAAACCTTCGACTTCGATCGCGTAATGGAGGACAAGCGAAAGTGCTCTCATGCCGTCGGTCACTCCCCTGGTGAGTTATTAAAAACGTTTCTAAACATTTCATGCCAAGCTTACTTGTTATCTATCTTCCACTTCTTTCTGAAGGCCGCTTTATGTTTATTGCTATCAGCCGTGTCTCCGAATCATGATGTGGTCCGCTAGAGTTCACTTCAGTGAGTTGCGGACACAGGTTGATTGCTCTATGAATTCAACTCTCGCCTAAGCCCAATTAACTCTTATCACTGGACTCTTCAATGCTTGGATGTCTCCAGCTACACTGACTTGTTTCATGTACAGGGACATGACTTGCTGTTTTACGATTACCATCAAGTACCACGTATCTCCTTCGCTGATCGATGCCCTTTGTTGTTCCAAATCGTCTTATACTTTCAACCTTGTAATCTGTGTAAACTGGATGCTTTAGTGTGACCGGGAAATTGGCACTGCGTTCGTCACTATGGTAGAATCCTGACTCCCGTTCTGGATGTGTCAACTTTACCCTCTGTAGCGACTACCACGGTGCAATTTGTGTCCAACTGTTATCTTTGTTCTCTGTACGCCAAGTGGTGGGTAACTGTTACTCGTTCCTGGAATTAGTGTTGATCTGGGGATTTTGGCTTGTACTATTGCCAGTGTGAGAAGCACTGACTCCAGACTAGCCGATGGCTGTTTGCCAAATGGCGTATACCACGCGCGAGTGGCGGTGAGGCGTCAATATGCTTGCCGGCGAATTACTGACGCCTCTTTTTTCTTATCACTTTTTGACCTGATACTTGGCCTACTTGGATATTCATGCCATCCACTACAATCTCGAGCCTATGTCGGTCCATTTACTCAACTATCATCCATCCACGCACAGAAGTGCCATGGATCCAGTGGCCGTGGCTTGGTATCATAAAAATAAGGCGGGAAATTACACTCAGCAAACAATACAGTCAACCGACAGTGACAACTTCATTAGAAAAGAAATGGAAGTTAACTACAAGAAATGAGCTACCGTATGCAAAGATATCGCTAGTTTCGCGAGCACAATGTATATGTCGACGAGGTCCCAAGACCCCCCATTTGGCACGACTGCGTCAGCCCAAGTCACTGGATTGGATTTTTGTTGCTTTTTAAGGTGTCATCGTTGGCCATCCGGCGCATAGTCAGATGGCATCACACGCCGCAGCATCAGCGTACATCGTTCTACGATCTAGTATTGCACTAGTGTTGGTTGAGCATCGTCAACTAAGGAGTATCAACATTTCTCATTCGGAGATTTCATCAGATGTGAGCATCAGTGTACAGGTATCCGTAATCAAAGGCAACACCTGTCACTGTGATCCCGGCAGTGACACCAACCCCACTGTAGAGTTGTGCATCGCACCTAAAAGAGGTATTAGCGGTGCACGGGTATGCAGTGCCACCGCTTCGCTGCCGCGCAACAGTTACGCATGGGCTAAGAATATTGCGACGGTCGCCTGATCCTTACTCAGGCTCAAACCGGCACACTGATTACAAGGCTAGCTTGTGATCCTTATGACCATCTATTATTCAAACGACCATAAAATAGCTTGTGGTTCTTCTTACCTAAGAGCATATGAGATCACAAGACATGCGAGTCGATCAGACTGGACCATTGGATGCATCAGGCGCTTCCCTCTGCGCGGCTTCGCTGGTTGCCCGGTATCAATTGGTTACAACTCAATTACATGACTTTTACTTAGTTCATTCAAGCCGAGAAAGTTGTTCATCTAGTGCCCAGCAGCCCCACCGTTATTTATAAACGCCACTTAAATATTCCTCAGAATGTTTTGAAACCTACCATTCTGTCTGTGAACTTGCTTTACTCAATAAGCCATTTGTGCTTAACAAGTCATTTTTTCGGTTTGCTATCATAAGGAATCATAGCAAATTCAGTGAACGCCGTTCAGTTGCTCATTTTAATTCAATCTACTCTTCGATCACATGTTTCACTGAACTCAAGTAAACGCAATCTAACAAGCGACCAGACACTTCGGAAGAGCAAATCTTTTAATCTTTTCTTATTGTTGTGTCTGACTGAGCAAACAACGGCGTACCAACTGGCAGTGTTTAAACGTGACTGTACACAACGCGCGCTGTGTGCTGTATGCAATACACTAAAGCCGCTACGGTGATCTGAATAACTGGCAAATATACATCAGCAACCGTTGTCTGTAAAGGATTGCTCGTTTGTGATGGCAACATCACGTAGGCAACACCTAAGTCCGATACCTAGTGCGTGGAGCGGATAGCCCCTGTCTCCAAAACGTTGTTCTCGGACACCGCATGCTGACTCGGCTACGTATTGCGGATGCCAGTCTTGTGCCTTCCCTGTGGAGCGTTGTTTGCGCTTTCCGGAAGTGCCGCGGTGGACAACCAAAGACGTAGAGAAGGAGCATGAGGAAGGCAGCCTCAAGCTTGGCATAAGTCGGACCGATCCGCCTTCCTGGCTGGGGACCACGCGACTCTGACTCCCAGTGGTTTGTAACGTTGTATGTTATGGCCCGCAACAGACATCAGTAGCGCCAATGTTGTTCTGTCGCATCATCTGTCAGTTAATCTCCAGTAGGGCACACAAAATCTCAATAATGTGTGTGCGGTACCAAAAAGCGTTTTTTTGTATTCTGTTTCGCTATTTTCCGCCATGGTTCTAATGGGACATTGTCTGTAACTGGCTTGACGTGAAGTGTGCGGTCAAACTAGTGCGATCTACCAGCGTTATCCGTCTTTTCAACTCGAGACATCCCCATTGGAGTCCGTCGACTCACGCTCTTGTAATTTCTGCGGCTGAACGACCGACAGCCAAACGGCTTATGCGACTGTGCGATTTGTCACTTAGGCGCCGTGTCGATGTGTGCAACACTCAGTACTAAACCACATACCACTCCAAACAAATGCGATTGCCAACTAATATAGACGTTTACCCGATCGCAGGATTGTGAATCCTGCAAGCAGGACGCAAAAGATAAGCAGATTCTGTGCTGTGTACCTCCTCCTAGAACACTAGACAGTCTCCGGAGTTGGGTCGAATGTGAGAGAAACAATTACTTCGGTTGCCGCTGCCACTTGGCCAAGGTGAACTCACGTCTGTCCTTCAAATTTCACAGCGTCCAGTTATCAACGTGCTTCAAAATAGATTAGCAGTTGACTTGTACGGTTTCAGTTAGGCGCCGCTATCAACTTGACCCCAAACGCATTACGCTAGGGTATCTATCCGACTTAATCAAGATGGGCTGCCTTTAAACAGGGCCATCAATAGGGACTACTGTGCGTAGGCGACTTTGCGAGCTGTTTTTTCGCGTTCAGTTAAGGCTAAGTGTTTCATGAAAGTTGACCTATCCTCCACTTTCTGACACGCCTGGAGCTCCGGAAACTTCGCTACTGGGAGTTGTGATATCTATGTCCCCGACTGGTCCTAGGTATCCAGCAAGTCTCATTGGTCAGTTCATTGTTTACTCATAATGCTCTGCCCAAGAGTTAAGTTGTCGCATGTGAATGATATTTGGTTGTCCATCTTTCTCAACTATTGTTTCAGTCACTACTACTGTTTGTCGACCCTTTACGTGGATTATGTAACTAGTCTGTTCCAACTCATAGTACTGCTTCTTCCCCCCTCTTTGGCTTTCACCATCCACCAACTCTCGATTCATCTTGAGATTCCCTGTCCGTTTATTGTTCCAATTGCTTTGGTGTGATTTAAACTCCTGGTTCGTTGAATCATCACGGACCACACCATGGTATTCCTCCTTAATCTAAGAATTGGAAATTTGCGTGGCAGACAGGGTTGACGAAAGGACAAAGAGTTTGACAACGGGGTTTCGAAACTTTAGCGATACTATCCCGCTGCTCATTTTGAGCGCGAGCTTCTGTCCGGGGTGTTTCAGCTCTAACATTAACACAATAGGCTGACCCTATGCAGTTGGATAACTAGAAGTTTGCTTGGAAGATTTTACTCGGAACCCGCAATTTAATGGTCTTATCATTTAGCAACTTGGACTGGGTCTATTTCGAGAGCGTCGCCGCAGAATTCAATTAGGATCTGCTTGAGACTTGTCACACGCAATATTGAAAGATTCGCAATTTGGAAGGATTTTGGTCGTATCACTTCATCCACCTCTGAACATTATCAGCCGCTGTTGGTTCTTGGCTAGTTCTCGTTTTTTTAACCAAGGATTGTGGCTTGTGGCTTTGCTCTCCCACTACTAGAGACAACTCACAGGCTCTTGCTCAACACTGACCGAGCGGAATCCGTAAGTACTGCATCCTTGTTTTCTCTTTTGGCTTTTATGAAGGTACACTTTGGCCTTTATATAGTTGTCTATCTGCGGATGTTGTAACTGAGTCTATTAAGCCTCCAGCCCCTGACCTATCTCTTAGTGAATTTCAGAGCGCTTAATTGATCATAGTTCAGTCTGTTCAATCGTGCTTGCATAGTGGCTGCGTCTGACCCCCAACGGAACTATATTATCCACATATTCTAAGTTTGATATTTGTCCGTCCGTCATATCATCGACCACGGGAGAGGTGGAATTAGACTTGAGAGTCATTCGAGAGAACTAGGGAAGTGGGACATCGATGGAGCACTCTACTTATCGTTTCCCGCTGTCTTTCGCAATCGCACGGGAGTCGTTGTACAGAGATATTAGAATAGCGAAGAATTTCTCAGGCATCTCTTTTAAAGGTAGGCTGGCACATGCAGACGCGATCAACGGATGCAACGGCAGCCTTACAGTTAAAGAAATCTGCCATGGTGCATCGTTTCTATGCGTGGTAACTTTCCAACAATTTCCGAGGAGTGATCATGTGATCCATGCGCCCTATATCGGGATGAGAGCTTGCCTGACGTTCGTTAATTTCCTTCCGGTCGGTGACCGAAAGGACAAGGCGTTTGCTTTGCAAACCGAACGTCACCGATTCGAGCTCGCGTGGGGGGCCGGATCTTCGCAGTATCCTTAGTCCGCACGCAATTGGTGGTGGTTGCGTGGCAGCGAAGCGTCAGTACACATCTGCATCTCTAACCAACTC